TGTGCATGCATGTGATACAACCACCATGCCCAGGAGTGTGCTCGGATGCATGAGTGAATGGGTGAGCATGTGCAACCAACACAACCACCATGCCAGGAGTGCATGCATGTGAGCTCATGAGCATATACTTGCATGTATGCAATACAACCTACCATGCCCAGGAGTGTGCTCAGATGCACGTGCGCTTGTATGAGTGTGTGAGTGTGCATGTGTGTGATATAACAACCCAACCCAGGAGGGGTTCTGAGAAATAGTGGTTCTGGGAGCTGCTCCCTGAGGAAGGGTTGGAGTCTGGATTTGAACCCAGGCCTCTCTATCCCCTAAATCCCTGTTCCAACCATGAAAGGGTTAAAGAAGGGGCTGTGGATAAACTCTGAGCCCTCCTGTGTCAGGCCCAAGGCTCCATACCTACAAAGAACCCAGATCACTTACATTTCATTATTGTCATTAGTATTACTACTTAAAAATGTCCCAATATTTTAGAGACTTCAGATGCAATGTCCCCTTCCTTTTTATAAAACAGATTTCTTTTTGGGCAAAACTAATAACTGCTAAGAAGAGACTGGAACCAAACTCTTGGGTTTGAGTCCCCACTCTCCCACTTCCTGGCCCTGTGCCTTGAGCTTGTTTACCCCTCTGTAAAAAAGGGGGGCTATTAATGGAACCTGCCTCGTAGGTTTATAAGGAGGCTTACATTTTATTATATATTATTACTGTATGTTATAATTATACATAAATTATATAATACATATTCATTTACATACTATATGTTACTATGCATATATATCACATACATGCGTATGGGTTAGAATATATATAAAGTCCTCAGAACCGTGTGTTGGCCCTTTCGGCACTATGTTAAAGGGAGCCTGACACAGCCCAGTGTTGGGGACATGGGGACCTTGAGTTAAATCTGGCCTGGTGAGAATGCGGTGCTGACAGTGTTCTGTTCTCCTGCAGTGAAACCCCGGTGAGCTGCCAGTGAGACCGGCCGGGCCGGAGGAGCAGCGCGAAGCCACTCGGACCCTCTCCTGGGACTTATTGTTGGCCCCTCCGACCCAGCTTCCTGTGCAGGGTTTTCTATTTTTCAAGAGAGGCCCAGCTTCTGTGTGGTCAGCAGAGTATGCTGGCTGCAAAACTTGGCCCTGGGGCTGAGGTTGGAAGGGACGGTGCCCCTGAGCAACTTGCACACCTGGGCCCCTGGCTCGATCCTGGTACTTGGCACCCAAGGGCTTTGTTCCGGTTGCCATTTTCAAGAAAGAAACTAAAGTGCTGATTTGCGGGTGGAGCTATAAATAATAATAATATTAATAATAATAATAATAATAATGGCTGCATGTATCGAGCACTCACCACGTGCCAGGTACCTGCTAAATGCTTTACGAATATTGTGAAATGAGTCTTCCTCAGCCAACTTAAACCACATTCCCAGACCCCCCCCAGTACAAACTAGTATGTCCTGAGTGATTTGGACAAAGCATTAAAAATTAAGGCCTGAGACCTCCTGAAGTGAGACAGAGCTTGGCCTTTAGGGAGCTGAAGAGTGGGTGTTAATTTAGGCTACAAGGAAGCCGACCTTCTCCAGCTTCAGTGATGCAAACTGCTTTAGCTGAAGGCCCGAGAGTACAGGCAGAGCTGCATGGAGGAGAGCAGGCTCTCTCTGGGGCCTCTCAGTTCCTTGGCCTGAAAGAGAAGGAAAGTCAGCTCCCACTCTACAGTGGGGAGAACCGGCTTCAGCCCGGGCTACAGATGCCCAGGCCGGAGGCATGTCCCCCATAACCGAGGTGGGCAGCCACCACGAGGCCATGGGTGGAGTTGAGCCCCCCAATACTTATGTCGTTTTTCTGATAGAAGAGTCTTTGCTGTAGTTCCTGAAAGCTGAGTTCTCCCGCCTGGCTGCCTGGGAGCCGGGGGTGCCTCTCAAATCCCAGCTCTCAAAACAGTGCAGCCTTTTCTCTTGAAATCCATGGCTTTTGGCCCTGATTCTTTGGTAAATAGGAGAAGAAATGGGTGATGTCTTTTCTTGTGTTGCTTTTTCACATAACAAAATTACTGTAGGAAGCCAAATTGGGAAGTGTGTGTGTAAGAGAAGGAAAACGGGTACGCACCCCACATCCCCTTGTGTGTCTGCGCAACCAATAAACTGTGTCTTTCTCACTTAGCTCCCATCTGTGTGGCCTTTTTTCCTGACATTCAGCCACAAACAAGCATGCTTCTAGGCTGTCAGGGCCATAGAGCATCAGCCAGGGGATGGGAGAATGTTGAGGTTGATGATGGCGACGGGCAAGCATTGCCCTGACCAGAGGGGCTGTAAAACCAGTTTGAAGTTGGGCATGGAACAGGATCAGCAGTAGATGTCACATATCTTCGTGGGATTCCAGGCACCCTGCAGCCTCTCAACTACCACCAGCATCACCTTCTCAACCACCACCCCTGCTGTCCTGCAGCCACAAGTTCCTCCTGGCTTTCAGAAGCATTCATTGCTAAGCTCCAGATAACAAACACATGTAAACAATCCCCAGGTCTTGGACCTCCAGCTCCTGCATTCAGGGTAAGCTTGTACCACCCACGGGTCAGGGAGCAGTCCTCAGGGATGGCCAGTGTGGGCGCTGCTTGGCCCCACTCCCAAGGTGCCTTGGCCTGGGCTGCTGTTCCCACCAGTTCCAGCTACTCAGCCTCTGCTCCAGTTAAGACGCCAGGTCTGGACTCCAGGCAGAGCTTGAGGGAGTGGAGTTCTCTGCAGCCATGGAACAAACCATTCACTGCCCTTCAGCAATGGCCTGTGGAGGCTAGCAAGGGTGGGGCTGAGAGCCCACTGCAAACTTGGCTCCCCCACACAGATGGGACTCCTTCACCCTGCAGGCTCACTTCCTGGTCCCCAGGCACCAGCCTCCTGACTTGATGTGAAGCGGCAATTGGAGACACACAGACATCCCTTAGGCCAACCCCTCTACATCCATCACCTCACCACCTGGGGGACCCAGTGGCTGTAGGGTGGGCTGGAGTGCTGCAAGGGAGAGCAAAGGGTTCAAACTCCACCCCCACCTAGAACTGACTTCTGTGCCCTCCCCAACATTTCTCGGGGTTCCCAGGAGAAGCAAGTCAAAGAAAAGCAGTGCAGTTATGCCTTAGACTCTCTGTCACCTGTTCCTCTGAGTTCTAGTGGCCTGAGCAAGCCCAGCGTCCCTCGTGCCTCTCCCTGTAGCTACAACACAAGCTGTGTGAGCACCAGCCAGGCTTTGACTGTAAGCCAACGGACAGTAATGCCCACTGCAATACCCGGAACTGAAAACACTGTGAAATTTAAGAACTTTCATCCTTGTTCTTTTAACTGCTCAGCCCTGCACCCACTCCTCGGGGTCCTTGACCACCTTGTCCCTGAGTTCTGGTGGCCACCGTCTCTTGGGGCCCACTCTAGATTTCTCTGCCATCTGTACTTTGCTCCCAAGCCCCCAAATCCCCTCTCCTACAGCAGGATGAGCCGGGAATCCAGAAATTTCCTCCTATCACCTAAGTATCTCTACAGAAGGTCCCGACTTACAGTGGTTCAGCTTAACTATTTTTTGACTTTACGATAGTGTGAAAATGATACACATTCACTAGAAACTGTACTTCTAAATTTGCATTTTGATCTTTTCCTGGGCCAGTGCCATGCAATACGATCCTCTCTTGTGATGCAGCGGCTAGCTGCAGCTCCAAGCCAGGCCCGCGGCCATGAGGGTAATCAGCCCATACTGTACTATGTTCCCAGCGGTTTCTGGATATTGTGCTCTGAGCATGATGAAGGTAGGCTAGGTGAAGCAATGATGTTCAGTTGGTGAGGTGTAATAAATGCATTTTCGACTGACGATGTTTTCACCTTACAAAGGCTTTATCAGGATGTAACCCCATCGTAGGTTGAGGAGCATCTATCTGTATTTTGTTTCAGCTAGTCTTCACCAATGTCCTTAACCAAGAAGGTAGGTTTATCAACAAGCATTTCTCACAAAAGTGCCCCTCATGCCTAAGGTGAATTCTGCTGTCCCCTGAATTTGCAGAAGCTGCTGCAGTCATTTTTTTTTTTTAAAGCAAAAATTTCCTTCTTTGCATGATTATATGAAAGCTGGTCGACAATAGCAAATTTTGTGCCAACAGGAAGTTCTTATCACAATGGATATTCTCTAACAATAGCCGCTTGCTGAGCACCCAGCACTCCACCCCCAGCACAGCCTGGAGGCCAGCCGCTACGCCTGAGCCATTTCGCAGGGAAGGGTCAGCCTGTGGGCTCCTCCCCACTCCTTCCTGGGTTTTGGTTCTTTTTCCACGCCATTTTTTCCACCCCTATAGGAGGGAAATGAGTGAGTGACTCAGAAAAGCTCTCTTACAGCTACCTTCCTTAACCACAGCCTACAGGTTCTCGTCTTTGCCTGTCCTTAAAATAGCTCCTTTCTGTCCGCAAACTAATTTCCATGGAGATCCAGCTCTCTGAAGGCCTAGAAGTTTCCTGCAAGGCCGCAAGCCCAGCTCCCAGCCTTCACTCCAACAGAGAGAGACCCTTTGTAATGGCAGGGTCTCACCCTCACAGGAC